ACACACACACACACACACACACACACACACACACACACACACACACACACACACACACACACGCATCACATACTTGCAGCTCGACTGCGGAGAATTGCGCAGCGAGAGCCGCTCCTCGTCAACAGACAGCGACAGCACAGATGATGGGATGTGCCGTCACACTGCCGTACTCGTTGTTGAATTTGTTGAATATGTTGTTATGCTGTTGTAGGTGTTGCTCGAGTTGATATGTCTTTAGTGTTGGCACTGCCAACAAGCCAAGAGTTGCGAATAACCGACCACCTAACATGTTCCTGTCTTTGAGAATGAACGACAAGCTTGAGCATCAATTCATGACTTCAAACGCTGCCTGTGTGTGTGTGTGTGAGTGTGTGTGTGTGAGTGAGTGTGTGTGTGTGTGTGTGTGTGGACTGTGGTGACTTTGCGACTTTTTCTTTGTGCTGTCGCTGTTGCTGTTGCTCGTTTCGTTTGTTGGCCAGTGTTACTGCAGCGTTTGTTATTCCTGTGTTATGTTATCGTGACTCGCTGTGTACACACGCGCACGGGGCATTCCACAACATCAAACCTAGGTCGAAAAGACACTACCCAATACAACCATGCTTCTGACACAACATTACAACACAATGCCACGCACAGACATACACACAACACACACACACACACACACACACACACACACACACACACCGAAACTGCAAGCAAGCACAGCAGCTAGCCGCGTTGGCGTTGATTGCACTCAGCGTCTACTGTTGTTGACGACCTCTCACCGACTGCAGGAGCTGCGTGTACATGTGCACCGCTGTCTCTCCGCTGCTGACCTGTGCCGCCAGCCGAGACTCTTGCTCACGATGTGACAGCTGCACCTGGTAGCAGTGAGTGAGTGAGTGAGTGAGTGAGTGAGTGAGTGAGTGAGTGAGTGAGTGAGTGAGTGAGTGAGTGAGTGAGTGAGTGAGTGAGTGAGTGAGTGAGTGAATGAGTGCGTGAGTGAGTGAGTGAGTGAGTGAGTGAGCGTTTTGAACAAGCCAGCAGCAAAGTCGAGAGCATGTCCACCACACACACACACACACACACATGCGCATGTGCATACATCTGGCGGTGTTCTGTCGGCATATCCATCTCGCTGCATTGAAGTTCGCAGCTGTTGTAACCGCTTGGCGTCCTTCGCCTGTTGGCACATGGGTTCAGGGAGTGAATAAGCGACAGCACAAGGGGGTGTGCATGTGAGCTGTTGCAATGCGCAAGCATGATCCGCGTTCAGTCATCGCCACCCTCATGCAGCTCACACACATATACACACACACAAGTGCACGCATGCAAACGCATACACACTTACACACCATCTTCTTGTTGAGTTGGGCAATTTCTTTGTTGATGGCACCTTCCGAGGGCAGCGCATACAGTTCAACAAACACCTGATGCAGGTGATGCAGGTGATGCAGGGAGGAGAGGGAGCGCGCACGTGTGAATTGAAGGTCGTGGCACAGTGGTGGTGACGGCGGTGGTGTGGTATAGCGACAGCGGATGGTTGAACGAATCAAAACCAGCCTGCTCTGCTGCGTGCGGATCACTGTCACGTGTGCGTCTCAACAGCTTCTCCTCAGCACACAACACAACGCAACACAACACAACACGACACAACAACACAACACAACGCACGCACACATACACGTACACACAATCACCTTGTGGCGCGGACTGGTGGTTGGCAACGCGAGTGCAGTTGACGGAATGTCATTGGAAGACACAAACGAGACGTCGCGAATGGTGCACAGCGACCTGCGCGTGGCGCGACGAGGAAGAGCAAGGGGAGTGGAGACGAATGAAGTGAGTTGAGCGAGAGAATGAGCAAAGGAGGGAAGGAGCAAGGGGTCACGAGGGAGTGAGTGAGCGAAGCAAGGGCTGCGACGTGAGAGTGTTGGGCAACATCGTCGCATGCAGTCATCAGCATCAAGAGTGTGCACTGACAGGAGAACGTGACGGTAGTGCTGCCAGTCTGTGGTGTCGGCCGGATCTGTACAGACGATCAGCGCACGCGGCTGAAGAACAACAAAACAAAACATGCACACGCAGACGGGTGTGGTGAGGCAAAGCAAATGGCAACGGAAGCCATCGCATTGAGCAATGCAGATTCACAGCACGTCACGCGTCGCCAACTGCACACTTGCTGCTTACCCGCTGGGCGGCCGGCCCCTGGTAGCGCTGCACGAGTGGACAGCTGCGCACAGACGAGACGAGCGCCAACACATCGTCGACCTCACGCACCACCGCACCATCGGATGATGATGATGACGATGGTGATGATGATGGTGATGATGATGACGTTGATGATGATGATGATGCAGGGGTGTCATCACGTGGTGGTTGCACGAATGGCCCGAAGATCAAGTGGTCTGGGTCATCCTCGTGCCTGTGGTGTGCGTGTGTGAATGCGTTCAGGTGAGAGGTGTGTGCACATATGCGCACACATATGTGTGTGTGTGCTTGTGAGCTTGACAACAGACTCAGACAACCTCCCCAAGTTCTCTCTAACTACCTCTCCCTCAACGCACCAACACACCGCGCACCTTGGCAGCTGTGTGTAGAGCTCCTGTGCGATGTGTGGCATGATCGGGGCGAGCAGGGTGAGTGCGCAGCGTGCGGTGTGCACAAGCGTGGACAGCGTCGCGTCGTGCTGCTCAGACATAGATGCGTCACTCAGCACTGCTTTGGTCTGAATGGCGGCGACGGGAGAAGGTGGAGGTGTGATGTGACGTGATGTGATGTGATGGGAGGGAGATGTGACGTGGGATGGGATGGATGGTGTGTGTGTGTGTGGGTGGGGGGGGGGAAGAGTTTGCAGTGTGGGATGGCGGGATTGGGTGGAGATGTGGTGGTGAGAATCATGTATGGGAGGAAGTCAGCAGCGGGCAGGTTGTGGTGATGGTGTTCATCATGCCTTGAAGAGTTGCACGAACAGAATAAAGTGCGTGCTGACATACCCATTCGAGGTAGACGTCACAGTAGGATTTGATCCAAAAGTCGTGCAGTGCTGTTGTCACGGCAGCAAAGTCAAACGTCCTGCATATGTGTGCATGTGTTTGTGTGAGTGTGCGCGCGTGTGTGAGTGTGTGTGGGTATATGTGTGTGCGTGTGTGTGGGTGCATGTGTGCGTGTGTGTGTGATTTATGAGCAGCGACCAAAGGCACTACCATGGACAAAACACGAAACTCAAACCCCGACAACGAGGAAAGCAACAACATGACTACTTGCAGTCGTTGCGTGGCGTCGGTACCTGAAACCCGCGTCCACGACACGGGCGGTGGCGTGCAGCTGCTGCACAATCCAAACATTCATGCGGTGATGGCGATTGGGTGCAGACGGCGTACTGCTCTGACTGGTGCTGGTGCTGTTGTCGTCGTTGTCGTGGTGTGTGAGGCAGGCGGACGGGTCTGCTGAGAGACGAGAAGCAAACCGCTTTTCGTCTAGCGTTGGCAAAAGGGGGCAAAGCGGTGCGAGTGAAAAACGGTGTAAGATGGAGACATTGGCTGGCACGTGCCATGAAACACCCCAGGCACTTGCACCAAAGACCCACCGCCTGCTGGTAGTTTGCTGTTCACATATCCGACGGCGTTCCACAACTTGTTGCACAGCGACTTGGCGGCAACCACCCGGTTGATGTTCAAGTTGATGTCTCGGCCTGAAGGCAAAGTGTTTGGTTGTGAGCGAATGAGAGAGAGAGAGTGTGTGTGAGTATGTGTGTGTGTGTGTGAGAGAGAGTGTGTGAGTATGTGTGCGTGTGAGTATGTGTGTGAGTATGTGTGCGTGTGAGTATGTGTGTGAGTATGTGTGTAAGTATGTGTGAATGAGTATGCGTATGTGTGTCAGCTTGCGTGCAAGAAACGCACACAGATATGCGTTTTGCTCACCTTGAGTTGTGTATGCGCAGAGGGCGAATCTGAGCGCATCTGCGCCACATGATGGAATGCCCTTTGGGAACTCCTTCTCGATGTTTGCCTGCAGGCAACCATGGACCGACACGAAGCGATGAAGGGAAGGGCGACGTGAGACGTTCAGGACAAGGAACGCAAGTGAGCACCGCACAGAGAGAAGGGAACAGAGAGGGAGAGGGAGAGAGAGAGAGAGTGTGTGTGTGTGTGTGTGCGTGTGCGTGTGTGGAGACAGCGTACTGTGGCCTCCTTGAGTTCGCGCGCGTCCAGATTGCCCTTGTGCAGTTTTGCAATCATTTCTTCCTTCGTGATGCCTTCAGGTGATGATCAGTGTGTGTGTGTGTGCGTGCGTGCGCATATGCGTGCGTGTGTGAGTACGTGCGCGTGAGGGATAGAGAGACAGATACGCGCGCGCAGAGACACACACACACACACACACACACAGCGAGGGCGCTACCATAGACGACGTCCAGAGGGTCGATGACGTTTCCGAGACTCTTGGACATCTTGCGGCCTTTCGCGTCGCGCACCATCGCATGCAGCACCACCTGCAGTGCAGCAGCAGGCGGGTGACAGTGGTGGTGTGCACACGTCAACGTGAAATGCACGAAGAGAGGGAAGAAGCAAAGAAACAACCAACCAACCAACCAACCAACCAACCAACCAACCAACCAACCAACCAACCAACCAACCAACCAACCAACCAACCAACCAACCAACCAACCAACCAACCAAACAAACAAACAAGCAAACAAACAAACAAACAAACAACCGCACGAAACAAGCAAGCAAGCATGCAAGCAAACAAACAACCAACCTCTTTGAAGGGGAGGGTGTCTGTGAGTTCCAGGCCAAGCATGACCATGCGGGCAACCCAGAAGAAGAGGATGTCGTGTCCGGTTTCAAGGACGTTGGTTGGGTAGTGGGATCGAAAGTCCTCCGTGCTCGTGTCGGGCCATCCAAACGCAGCAAACGGGTACAGCGCTGCACACGCACGTGTGTTTGAGGAGGGAAAAGGAGGGAAGGCATCAGCTGGAGGTGCGAGCTGCAGTTGCGACACCCACACGCCATGGTCTCTCAGACACGCACGCACACAAGACAAGCAACCGCCACATGAGTCAAAAAAAAAACCACTGCACCATCAACCACTATAACCCGCAACATGAATCACAGACTCTAACAGCCACCAATCACCGACCTGACGAGAACCACGTGTCCAGCACATCTTCATCTTGCACCACCACCAGTCCATCATCATCATCATCGTCGTCGTCGTTGTCGTCGTCGGTGGTGCTGATGCCAAAGTGCCGTGCGGCGCGTTGTCGAGCGGCGTTCTCATCGCACGCAGCAACCCAGCTGGTGGTGGTGGTGGTGGTGGGGAGACAGTGAGTCAGATGTGTGACAGACACGCGTGGGTATGTGCGCAAATGTGTGGAAGTGTACGTGTACGGATGAGTGCGTGTGTCCATGTGTGTATCCGTGACGTGTGCAGGCATGTCGGGCAAAGCAGCAAAGGCATGAACTCACGTGCTGTCGCCCTGTGGGATTTGCCGAAGAGTCCATGAAGAAGCGAGGAATGTAGACAATAGCAACACGTACAGCGAGTGAAATGCCGTGAGTTTGTCGCCATAGTGCATACGGATGCCATACAGTTTCCCACACCAGCACAACATACCCAACACACACACAGACACACAGACACACACACACCACACAGACACAGACACAGACACACACACACACACACACATACAAACTCTCGCTCGTTCTGCACTCCCTGTCTCACTCAAACACACACAGACACACGCAGACACACACACACACACTCACAAACAGGCGTATTGGATTGGCCGACCTTCCACGTTGCGTGGTATGCGGGGATGCGGTGTCCCCACCACAGCTGGCGTGAAATGCACCAGGGGCGAATGGAGGACAGCCACCGCTCAAAGCTCTCGCCCATCCGTGCAGGATGGAACTGAAGATTTCCGGACCGATATTCCGACAACGCTTTCTGTTGTGTGAGTGAGTGAGTGAGTGAGTGAGTGAGTGAGTGAGTGAGTGAGTGAGTGAGTGAGTGAGTGAGTGAGTGAGTGAGTGAGTGAGTTTGTGTGTGTGTGTGTGTGTGTGAGTGAGTGAGTGTTTGCGTGAGTGAGTGTTTGCGTGAGTGAGTGTTTGTGTGAGTGTTTGTGTGTGTGTGTGTGCGTGTGTATGTGTGCGTTTGAGTAAAACAACGCGCGTGTTCGCGCCACATGTGCGGTAAGTGATCCCTGCTCGCACAATGCCATGCCCCAATGAACCGCCCGCTATTCTCCACTCTCCGCCCCTTCCAACCATCCCCTCTTCATCTCTGCCGTCGCGCGCATCTGACCTCGGCCATGTTGGTGCAGTCGAGGAACCACTGCGGACACACGAGCGGCTCAATGACATCTCCGCTCCGGCTGCACACCGGCACGGTCTGAGGATGACGAAGGGTGGGTGGGTGGGGGGGGGGAGGCAGTGGTGGATGATGTGGTGAACGAGGGGTGACTGGTTTGGAGCAGGAGCAGCGATCATGATAGTCAGACGCCTTGTACGCATACGAGGCAGTCACAGATACACACACAGACACACAGACACACACAGACACACAGACACAGACACACACACACACACACACACACACACCGTCTTGTGGTCGCGTGTTTGCCTCAAGTGTCCGCTCTCCTCCAGCGCCTTCAGGACTGTTATTCGCGCATCGAATCGGTGCTGCCCGTGGATGGACGGCAGTTCCGGACAGTCCATGTGCCCGCTCTTGTCCATCACCTACGAGGATGTGTTGTGTGTGTGTGTGTGTGTGTGTGTGTGTACGTGAGTTGTGCGTGTGTATGTGCGTGTACGTGTGTGTATGTGCGTGTACGTGTGTGCATGAGTGAGTGAGTGTGTGTGTGTGTATGAGTGTGTGTGTGCACTGATGCGACCCAAGCGGAATTCCTGTTTGCAAAACGGGATCAACATCAACGCTCACATGTACACGCGCCACCAGGAGCAGCGGACCTGAATGGAGGGGAGGTTGTGTCGCAGGCCCGCTTCGTGGTCGTTTGGATCGTGCGCTGATGGAGCAAAGGCGAGTATTGCGTGCAGGCACACGCACACGCGGTGAGAACACATGCACACGGTGCCGCAGCGCTTCAGTACACTCTCGCACTTACGCAGACACACACACACACACACACACACACACACACACACACGCATGCGCAGTGTCTGGCTGCACACCCCCGCAACCTGGCGTGATCTTGACGGCGCCCGTGCCGAGCGCGGGATCGACGAGGAGCGAGTCCGTGATGACGGGAACAGCAGCGCCTGGTGGGGGCGATGGTATGATGATGCGATGGCATGATGGCAGTGATGAGAAGGTGGTCGACGAACGTAAAGTGGGGGAGAAAACACACACGTAAATAAATGAATACACATAATACAGGCGTTCGCACAAAGACACAGGCACACACACACACACACACACACACACACACACACACACACACACACACACACACACACACACCTGTGAGCGGGTGGCGGAGGTGCCTGTTGTGGAGATGAACGTATCTTGGGTCGTCTGGATGGACGGCAACAGCAACGTCGCCAGGCATCGTCTCCGGTCGCGTCGTGCTCACAACCACACCCTACACACACCAGCACCAGCAGCAGCCATGGCGGCGCAGTGAGGTAGCGGTGTGCGTGTGTGTGTGTGTGTGTGTGTGTGTGTGTGTGTGTGTGTGTGTGTGTGTGTGTGTGTGTGTGTGTGTGTGTGTGTGTGTGTGCGTGTGTGTGTGTGTGTGTGTGTGCCCGTATCTGCAGCTCGCCAATAGCCAGTGAGTGTGCGTGTGTTGCCTCCCCTCCTTACCCCACGAGCTAATTACCAGCACGGCATCCGCGCACCTGCTCGCCTGTTGGGTCATCGGCGAGGGGGAAGAACACGTCGTACATCTGTCCAACAACAACAGGGCGGTTGTATCCGGGAACGGTTATGGACGTGCGACCCTCCACAGGGAGCGAGTCAACCTGTGAGCAGCGATACCAGGGCCGCAGCGGCATTAAGTCGTTTGAAAGGGGGGGGGGGAGGAGGAGCAATGGTACGTGCACGTGAGAGTGATCACTGCTTAATGTATATGGGGGAGTGGGGAATCAAGAGATGTGTTGTGACGCAAACAACGCAACGGAGCAAACACACACACACACACACACATAAGCACACACACACAAGCACACACACACACACACACACACACAAGCACGTGCACACCTCCATGTCTGAGATGGCGGACTGCAGGGTGCATGACCAGTTGATGCAGTGGTTCCGCCGCTGGATGAGGCCACGGTCAAACAGGCGCACAAACGCCGTCTTGGTGGCACGCGTAAACTGGCGAGCAGACCGGTAAACATGGTGGGGTGGGGAGGGGGTAGAGGCAGCACACGAGGCGTGAGAGTTGCAAGAGAAGTGAGAGAGGAGTTGGGTGCACGAGAAGCCAATCAGGAGACAGGCATGTGGCATTGGCCATGAGCATTCACTGCAAGCGTGTGCAAGAGCACATGAACAACACCATATGCACACAGCTCTTCAGGTGCAAGCATAACACGCACGTGTATCCCAACACAAGCACCCAGCACACAAGGCTGCGCCACCTTGTCATCCAGGGTGAAGACCATCCTTGACCAGTCCAATGACGCGCCCATGCGATGCACCTGTTTGAAGAAATGAGCACGTGCCAGAAGGTGAGGGAGGAAGCGGGTGTGCAGAAACACGACTCGCGATACCGGCGACAACATTGCCAAGCCGTGCGCGTGACAGCACGGCACCACGTGCCTGCTCAAGGATGTCGTGAGCCCTGTCCTCCTTCCACTGCCACACGCGACCCAAGAACGCGTCCCGGCCCAGGTCGTGGCGCGTCAGCCCTTCCTGCTTGTGGACCTGCTTCTCCACGACCGTCTGCGTTGCAATGCCTGCCAGTAGTGCAGTCAAGTGTCAGTGCGGAGTTCAGGGCAGAAGAGGGCAGAGAGCTAAGAGCCAGAAGAGAGGGCAAGGCAGAGGCAGCCACATCAAGCCACAACGTACACATATGTACGCACATGCACGCATTTGCATGCACACATGCACACATGCACACCTGCGTGATCCACGCCAGGCACCCATGTGGTCTCGAGGCCCCGCATGCGCGACCACCTTGCAAGCGCATCCTGCACAGCGATGGTCAGCGCATGGCCAAGGTGCAGACTTCCTGTCACGTTCGGTGGGGGGAACATCATGACGAAGCGATTATCAACCTCCGCTGCCGAATCACGGTGGCCATGCCTGCTGCTGATGCTGCAGTCGTCGTCGTTGTTGTTGTTGTTGTTGATGCTGCTGCTGCTGCTGTTGTTGTTGTTGTTGTAATGGCTGCTGTCGATGCTGGGTGCCTTGGTCGTTGAAGCAGCAGCAGCAGCAGCAGCAGCAGCATCAGAGGGTGTAACACCATCAGTGGCAGCAGCGGCAGCAGTGGCGGCGATACTCTTCTCCACTGCTTGCCAGTGGCTCTCCACCTTCAGCACATCCAGTGCGCCACGCTGCTGCGCCCGCGAGCGAAGCGCAACAGTCCTCAACATCGCCTCGGGACTTAATTCAGTAGATACACGAAATGACTGACTTCAGTATTGAGGTGCGTACGATACAAACAGGCCACCATCCTTTATTTAGGCTTGTCCTCTTGCTGCGCGTTGCGGTGTGAAATGATGTGCGTGTGGTATTGGATGGGGGGGGGGGGGGGGGGGAAGGTGTAAACAAACGCACACAGCCAACCATCGTGCCAGTGTTCCGAAGCCATCCAACTCCTCCTCTCGTTTGCATGGCGCCACGGAGCAAGGCCCTCTCTTTTTCAAAGGCGCGTGGTAGTCCCTTTACTCGGTCAAAATGTTTCTCGCAAAGCAAAACAACAACGACAACTGCTACATACTTGCAAAGCAGCATCATCTGTCCCGCGCAACGCATCAGTGCGCTTTGTTCCATGCAACGCAGTCTTCGTATCGAACCAGTGATCCTCCAAAGATGTCCAATGCACTGAAAAAAAAATGGTGATTGTGGTGTTGGTCATGATGATCATTGTCAAGATGCAGATGAGGATGAAAGTGAGGAGGCAAGTCAAACGCACACGCACACATACGCACACGCAGAGCGTGGTTACCTCACTCATTGGACACAAAAGCAGCTCACCTCCCAAACGTGAGATCAACTTGTCCATCGCTCAGCGCTGCCACCTGTGGTGAAGTGTGTGTGTGTGTGTGTGTGTGTGTGTGTGTGTGTGTGTGTGTGTGTGTGTGTGTGGTGTGATGAGCGCTCAGCCGAAGGAAACAGACAACCAAACAGGACGACAGGCACATGGCTGCCCAGAATGGCCATCCCAGTTCACTGCAACTCCCGCTTAGAGGTTCAAATACAGAGACACAATGTCACAAACAAAGACACACATACACACGCATACACACATGCATACTCTGTCAAGGTCAGCCACGTCCTTGGCACCGCCTGCATAGGTGCATGGTATTGGTGACCATTTGCCAAGGCACGCAACGAGCTCCTACAGCGCAAGTTAACAAGCAATGTGTCATGTACGTTGGCATGGTGGTGCGTCACATCACAAAAAGATGAAAGGCAATCACACGAACACTACAGAAGTGGACGCGCACGTACAGGTCGAGAGAGACAGACAGAGAGACAGACAGAGAGACAGACAGACACACACACACACACACATACACACACACACCAGCACACCTCATCGATGCCTTGGCAGAGGCCCTCCACGTCTGCTGCGTGCACGAGAAATTCGCAGCAGTACTGCGACAGCCGGTGCAGCGTGGCTTCATCCACCTGAAGGTCTGTGACCACTTGCCACCGCTTGATGGCTGCAGGGGTGGTGTGCCAGGCGCGCGCGCACACACGAGCGAGCGAGTGAGTGAGTACCAGCACATGGAGACCAACCCAACAATGATATGTACAAAATGGTCTTGAAAGGCGCAGTGACAAGACCAAGCATTTTAACGAACACACAAAAACACAGATACGCCCTCACACACACACACACACACTCTCTCTCTCACTCTCACTCTCATACACAGACACACACAGACACACACAGACACACAGACACACACACACACACACACACAAACAGACGCACACAAACATGTATACGCACTCACACACGCTGCGTACGCACCGACAAACCAGCCAGCCTCTCCTGCTTTCTTGCGGCAGCTGAGATCAAACACGAGACGGTCCCTGCCGACGCGGTCGCACAATGCCCTTGCACGCTCCTCTGAGAAGCAACCGTCCTCAAATAACCAGCTCGTCACAATCAACTGCAACAACAAGCGCAGTGGGCAGAAGTCAGCACGGCACAGCGCTTGCGTTGCGAGACACGCGGGGGAGGGGTGTGTGGAACTTGCACATGACAGGCAGGGAGGTAGGCAAACGAACGTGGATGGAAATGGACACACACACACAAACACACACAGACACACACGTACACACACACACACACACACACACACACACACGACACACACACACACACACACACACACACACACACACACACACACACACACACACACACACACACACACACACACACACACACACACACACACACATGTCAACCTTGTCTGCGCCGGCTTGCAGCCACTGCTCAGCGTTGTCGATGGTGATACCGCCACCAACTTGCAGTCCTTGAGGCCACGTCTCAAGCGCAAGCTTAGCTGCTTCTTCGTTGTTGGGGCCAAGCATGATCACATGTGCACCACTTAGTCCATCCTAGAAACGCCAGGAGGCATCAACAGCAACAGTTCACGTGTTGTGTGAGCAGGGCATGGGCGAGGAACGGTTACAAACGTGTGCACATGGTTTCCTCTCCATCGCACCGTGACGATAATTGGAAGGTACCTGCTTGTAGAGCCGTGCAAAGTGGTCTGCTGTTTGTGTAGCCACAAAGTTGGTGACGGCGCTCCCGTCATCCTTGAGCGTCGCGCCCACAATCTGCTTCACCTGGCTTGTTCGTGCGTGTGTTTGTTTGTTTGTTTGTTTGTATGTGTGTGTGCAGGTTTGCGAAGATATGGTGATGAGCCGGAACGGTTCCAAGGAGTTGACTGACAGACAGACAGACAGATAGACAGACACACACACACACACACACACACACACACACACACACACAGACAGACACACACACACATACACACAGACACACAGACACACACAGACACACATACACACGCACCTGACCACTGTGCAGGTCGATGCATGGGCGGAACTTTGTCATCTTCAAACTCAAGTTGGGAAAAATCGCTACATTTTCCAACACTTTTCAGCACCGACACGGAACGTGCTCACACACCTTGTACAAAACGATGAGCGACAACGACACAGACACACGTGCAGAGCAGACACAGCCTGCGCAGCCGCAGTCGTCGCTGCAGATGAAGCCGGAGGCACTGCCCGCTGCGTTTCGAGCGTTCTTGAGAGACAACGACATTGATGAGGACGCGTACACAGCGGCATTCGAACATCTGGATCTGCGGTACATTCGGTGCGTCCAGCCGATCGTTGTGTGATGTTTGTGCTTGTCTGTTGTGATGGTGATGGGTTTTCCCTGTGGGTTCAGGAGCAGCGTTGACGAGGGTCCGACTTGCTTCGCATGTGCTACAGGCTATCCAAGCGTGTGCAACTGAAAGAGGAAGAACTTGGCGCAGAGTTTCCTGGCATCCGTCCGGTTCCTTGGTGTCCCGGGTTCTATGCTATGCCGCACACAGCCAAGCTGGCATCTTCAGCGTTGTACACCAACGGCCATGTCTATGGTACGTTTTCACCCATACAGTCATTTTCGCTTAACTTCAACTGTACACGCTTGAGCACACACAGGTGCACAAGCTGTTGCACGCACTCACACACCGACATCAACGCCATGCGATTCAGGAATGGATGTGAGCTCAGGCGCTGCCGTGACGGCCCTGCAGATTCAACCGGGAGACCACTGTCTCGACCTCTGCTGCGCACCTGGCGCCAAGCTGGTAAGCGCATGCATGTGTGTATGTGTGTATGTATGTGTATGTGTGTTTGTGTGTGTATGTGTGTTTGTGTGTGTATGTGTGTGTGTGTGTGTCACTGCTATTGAGAGTGGATCTCACGTGCAGCATGCATCTGTGAAGTTTGCCCACGACTGCTAAACTCACACGGGCCCACATTTCCGGTAGTGCATGATGAGCGACCTGAGTGGTGAGGAAGGATCTGTCACGGGTGTCGACGTCAGCAGGTATGTGCGTGTGCGTGTGCGTGTGCGTGTGCGTGTGCGTGTGCGTGTGCGTGTGCGTGTGTGTGCTTGTGCGCAATGGCCGATGCCGCTTCGCTTTGTCCCCCTCCTTTACTGCGCACACGTTGAATTTATTCTCACCGCCTCTTTCCCCGTCACTTCTCTCTCTCCGCGATGGGCAGGGAGCGGCTGGCAGCATGCCGTACACTTCTCCTCAAGTACAAGCACGATAATGTGCGCCTGTATCTGGCTGACGGGCGTTCGTTCAGCACAAGCGCGCCCGCGCCACCGCAGCCTTGCTCGTGCCATTGCAGACTTGATGTGAACGGCAGCGATGGTGACAGGCACGGATCCGACGACGCCACGAGAGATCGCGCTCAACAGCAGCAGGAACAACAGGAACAGCAGCAACAACAACACGAACAACCACTGCAACAGCATGGGCACCCTCGTCCTGGTCGACGCAAGATTCCCAAACGCGACAGAATGCATTTTGTCAACGGCATGTTTTATTGCGCAAGACCGCTGCTGGAGCGCTATCGACTTGATCGGCCGGCCCAGGCGGTGGGCGGTGGCTGCACGTGTCACACGCACAGTCGCCTGTATGACAAGGTGCGCTTGCACATGTTTGTGTGTGTGTGTGTGTGTGTGTGTGTGTGTGTGTGTGTGTGTGTGTGTGTGTGTGTGTGTATGTGTGTGTGTGCGCACCCTTGCGTGTGAACAACTCATTGCTAATATTGCCCCATCACTTTACTGTGCAGGTGATGGTTGACGCTGAGTGCACACATGATGGGTCAATCAAGGTATGATTGCATGTTCATTCAGTGCCATCGCGTGTCCATCAAATTGCTCAGTTGAACTTGCCTCATACGCATTCACACACACATATTCACACACATCCACACACATATTCACACGCACACACGCACACACACACACATTCACACACATACAAGCACATCATCAAATACAACGAGTGGGGCTGGGACACGTTTGAGCGGCGGTTCTTTGATCCACATCGGATAGAAACGCTCGAGGCATTACAGCGGCAGCTGCTGACCACAGGCTTTTCTCTCCTCGTACGTGACGCTCTCATGTGTTGCATTCAGCTGTGTGTGCGTGTGTGTGTGCGTGTGCGTGTGTTGTTTGCTGTGGTGCACAGGCACGTGCCTGCGCGTGTACAAGTGGTGAACGACTTGCAACTGCCCGTTTTCACCATGGCGTCTTCTTCTGCATTGAAACAGAGACCGGGCGGGCGCCTCGTGTACAGCACCTGCAGTTTTGCAAAGAGGTGGAGTGCATGACATGCGCACTCGCAAGCACGCTTTCCTCATTTGTACATTGATGTGTTCTGAACAAGTGTTGGTGCACTTGCTTGGATTTTGTGCTGCGTATTTGTGTTGTGTGTGTTTGTTCATGTCGTCACATCACGACTGTCATACCACTCTTCTTCCCGCGCTCATATCAACACCGATATCTCTTCTGCCGTTCTTCGTACGCGTGCTTCCACCGTTGCCTGCAGGCAAAACGAGAGCATCATTTCGTGGTTCCTCGACGCAACGCCAACGGCGCGTCTCCTACCCGCTGATCTCCCGTCCTCAACGCCGCACACACATCCACGTGAACAGCGGCTCAAACACTGCATCAAGGTACTCGCACCTGCAATGTGTTTCGTGTGAGTGCGAAAGTGTGTGTATGTTTCGTGTGTGTGTGTGTGTGTGTGTGCGTATGCTTCGTATGTGTGTGTGTGTGTGTGTCTGAATGTCGCTCGTCAAGAACGAGGTGTTTGGACGTCTTTTCATCAATTGCCTCGCACTGCTCTCCTCCACCACCATCGTCACCATCAATCAGTTTAACCCAAAGGTGTCTGGCACGAGTGGGCTCTTCGTTGCTGTCATCACCAAGACGGAGGCATCCAGACAACAGGCTGACGTGGCAACCGACTAACTCAAACGGTACTCATCGACACACACACACACACAATCTTTGTCTGTCTGTCTGTCTGTCTGTCTGTCTGTCTGTCTGTCTGTCTGTCTGTCTGCGTCTCTCTCTCTCTCTCTCTCTCTCTCTCTCTCTCTCTCTCTCTTGTGGGGTACGTGTGCGTGATTCGCCTTGTAGGCTCGCCCATCGTGTTTAAACAATGAAAACGCGCGTGTAACAAATGCGATTTCAAACGCCACAACAGTGTTGATCATACCAGGCGTGACAACTATACACACACAGACACCCACAGACACCCACCCACACACACACACACACACACAGACACACACACAGACAGGCACAGGCGGACGACACACACACACACACACACACACACACACACACACACACACAACACTATTTGGGTGCTAGTTGACGGCGATATCGTGTTCGCGGAGGAAGGCCTCATATTCCGGACGGTCGCTCGGTTTCAAGAACGCGCGCAGCCCTGGCAGTTACGGCAATGGGCAGTGGGTGGTTGACATTTGGTAGATGGTTGGTGGTTGATGATTGAAGGTGGGAGTTGATGATTGGTAAGTGGTTCATGGTTGATGAGACATGGCGTGGGACGCGAAAGGAGGTGTTGGTTTGGCCATACAATCAAACATGGCACGCAACTGCAACGAAACCCTCCACAGCAATAGAGGTGACCCACCTGGAAGGTGGTGGTATCTCGAAGGGCCAAAGAGATCCAGCAGCTGCCGCGTGAAGTCAGCAAAGTCGCGCTGGAGGGTGCGTGCGTGTGTACAGGGGTGGGGCGATGGTTTGCAGGGTGGGGCGATGGTTTGCAGCGGGGGGGGGGGAGGTGAGACTGAGAACCCGTCCAGCAAGAGCAAGATAGCAAGCAAGTGACGCAGCGGCCTGTTGCAGCAGCAACTCATGCAGATAAGCGACTAGCCGGGCAACCGACCGTTGATCGGTATGTGCGAAGGAGCTTCACGAATTTCGCCATCTCTGTGGTGGTGAAGACGGGCTGCAGGGACTGCATGTACTGCTTCACCTCGCCGCTCGCAGTCGCCTCCTGATGGACGGACACATGAGCGCAGGAGGAGTCGGGTTGAGGCAGACGGACGTCGATAGATACAGACATGCAGATACACAGGCACAGACGGACAGACACAAAGGCACACACACACACAGGCACAGACATGCAGATACACAGGCACAGACGGACAGACACAGACAGACACACACACACACACAGACACACACAGACACACACACACACGTGTGTAAAACAATCCCTCCCCACACAAGCGGTGGTGTACCCTCTCTTTGCGTCGTTGCTCCTTTGGCGAAGAGCCACTCGCCCCCTGCTGTGCACCCGTCATGCCACCACCGGGCGCCAACGGCGCTGGCACTGACGGTGGTGGCGGCGGCGGCGGCGGTGATGATGCGGTCATGTCAAGCGTTCGCGCGGCAGTTGCGTCACCGTCGTCATCTGTGCTGACGCTCATCCCACGGAGGGGGCGTGTCTGGCGCCGATCGCCCTCGCTAAACGCGTTTACTTTCATGAAGGACGCGCGTTGCGCCGGGTTGTAGCGTGGGGCAGGAGGCGGCTCTTGCTGCAGGTGTGCACGCGTGTCGTGTCCGTGGCGTTTGGACGGGATGGGGGGGGGTGGTTCCCCAGGTGGTGGTTGGCGTGAGGTGCGCAGCAACACGAGAGCAACGTGGGCGATTGAGTGCCTGGCCAACGGCAATGGCAGCGGCCAATCATGTCGACCACCAGTGCCACACATGGCACATGACACACATGACAATACACATCACGTGACATTGCAGCACATCACGCAGGGCTGGCGCACCTCTTCACCAAAGAGCCCAAAGACGGACAGTCGCGCCCGCGATGCGCCTGAGGAGCGAAAAAACACAGCAGTGGTTGGTCACCCGAATGCGGTGTGTGTGTGTGTGTGTGTGTGTGTGTGTGTGTGTGTGTGTGTGTGTGTGTGTGTGCATGGGAATGGACTCAAATCAACGTCGTCTGGGGCATGAGCAGCTGCAACATCCCAAAAAGACAACGCGTCTCATCCAATCATCACACATCACACGAAACCATCCACCGCCACATGCAACCACCACACAGCGCCACCACCTTGCGTATCCATGAGTGCCTGGCTGGGGCGGGTGCGCGCGCGGTCGGGACTCGTTGGCGTCTTGGGCCGTCGTCGCGATATCCGTCGCCGCAGCTGCACATGATCAACACCACCCATGCCACCACCATCACCCTCATCATAAGTGTCATTAGCTTCGTCATCGCTCATTGTCCTGTGCCTCAACTCCGCCACCTCCCTCTGCTGCTGCATAAGCTGCTGCTGCTGCTGCTGTTGGCGTATGCGTTGCTGCTCCTCGCGTCTCTCCCTCTCCGCTCGTCGTTTCGCCGCGCGAACACGTTGCGCCTCCTCAGCCCGCCGCTGCAGTGGTGTTCACGTGTGTGTGTGTGTGTGTGTGTGTGTGTGTGTGTGTGTGTGTGTGTGTGTGTGTGTGTGTGTGTGTGTGTGTGTGTGTTCGTGTGTGTGTGTGTGTGTTCGTGTGTGTGTGCGTGTGTGTGTGTTAGAGTGGACAGGATAGGATGACAATGGCAGGCGACCAACGCACACATGCCATTACAAAGGTAAGCAACGCAGCCACGCCAGGCGAACGCATGCACACGTCACGCGCCAGCCATGTCAACCGTACCCGCTGCATCTGTTCCTCAATGGTGAGCCGGCCCTCAATTCCAGCAGCAATGTTGTCCTCCAGTGATGCCAACACGGCCTGACATGACGCAATAATTTGATCATTGAGACACGTGTGTGGGTAGGGGGTGACTCGAGTGCCTTGCAACCTCAGGCGTCTTGGAGGTCGCAAACCGGTGGTCAACAAAGGAAAGCGGAGAGGGAGAGGGAGAGGGAGAGGGAGAGGAAGGGCAGGAAGACGAAGAGAGGCTGGGACAAATTCACATATGCACACACACACACACACACACACACACACACACACACAATAGCACCATGCACACAAGCACACACACACACACAACAGCACCATGCACACAAGCACACACACACACACAACAGCACCATGCACACAAGCACACCTCTGTGTAGAGGTGTTGGATAGCGTTATCGAAGGTCTCGACAATGTGCACAGCGAGCTCGGCGGTGGGGAGCAGGAAGACATGACACACCGCGTGCGACCCTTCGCGCACCACAAGCAACACATAGAAGTTCGGGTTGTCGTCTGCGGGAGGGGGGGAGGAGGTGTTTGGAGAAGGGAGGAGGTAGGTGGTGAATGAGGGGCGCAGCAAGCATGCAGGCGCGCGTGAGACAGTGATATGTACACACACACACACACACACACACACACACACACACACACACACACACACACACACACACATACACACGCACACACACACACGCACACACGCACACACACACCGACGAATGTGAGGCTGTATGCGTCTGTGATGGGATAACGCTTGGTGGACTCGTCTGTGCGCGGGTTGTGCTGGTCGAGCTTGAAGAAGTCGGGATCGTCGCCAACGTCGAGGTCTGATATTGGGGGGGGGGATGGAAGTTGAAGGTTGGATGGAGTGATCGATTGGTATTGCGTTGTTGTTGTTGTTGTTGTTGTTGTTGTTGTTGTTGTTGTTGTTGTTGTTGTTGTTGTTGTTGTTGTTGTTGTTGTTGTTGTTGTTGTTGTTGTTGTTGTTGCTGTTGTTGTTGTTGTTGTTCTCGCGATGTGGATGTGTTGGTGCGAATCAGCGCACGCGGCGTGCACACTCTACCACCCACCACACATCAAATGACTCACGTGACAGGGACATGGCGATGAACTTGTGCGGTCCACTTCGCCGGCGGAGATCGCGGTTTCGCATCGCGTCATCCAGCACCTCAAGCAGCGCCTCCTGATCCTGTGCGTGCGTGTGTGCGTGTGTGTGTGTGTGTGTGCGTGTGTGTGTGTGTGTGTGTGTGTGTATTGGGAGGGGGTTGAGAAGCGTGTACTTGTAGCAAAGGGAACGGTGTGTAGGACGTTGGTGGTGACGACACGCTCTCATACAGACACACACGCACACATCCACACACGCACACATATACACACACTCGTCTCTTCGCTTTGCCTCTCAGGCAAGGTCAGTGTGGACGCACGTCGTGTGCTGGCCAGGTGTCGGTGACGGGCAGTCGTCCGAGGCACTGTAGGCGAGCAGCACGACGGTCACAGGTGAGGCACAGATGATGAACCGGCAATCAGGGGGACAGACAAACAGACACATAGACAGACAGATAGACACACACACACACAGACACACAGACAGACAGACAGACAGACAGACAGACACAGACACAGACACAGACACAAGACACAAGACACACACACACACACACACACACACACACACACACACAACGCGAAGCACCTTGAGGCCGAAGAAGCGGATGGGGCTGCCCTGTGTAAACGCGTCGCGCTGTGCCTGCCATGGGTTGCATTTGGCCTTGAGGCAGCTTGAGCACACGTTGAAGTTGTTCGGGATGGCGGTGAGCGCCGACTGAAACAGCCCGCGCCTCGCAACGTAGCGCTCGTCATTGTCATCTTGGACGGCATCCGGAGGCTTCTGGTAGAACCCACAGACTGTTGGGAGGGGGTGTAAGAGAGGGGAGGAGGGTTCAGTGGGCGATGTTGAGGAGCGACGCGTGGGTTTGCGCATTGAGGTCAACATCACGCAATCGATGGCATAATGTACGGACAGACAGAAGCAGAGAGAAAGAGAGGTAGAGACAGCGAGACAGAGAGCGAGACAGACAGACAGACAGACAGACAGACAGACAGACAGACAGACAGACAGACAGACCGACAGACAGACCGACAGACAGACAGACAGACAGACCGACAGACGGACGGACGGACAGACACACACACACACAGACACACACACACACAGACACACAAACAGACACACAGACGCACGTACTTCCGCAGGCCCAGTCGTAGGCGGTGGGCATGGCCGTGACTGGAATCGGGTATGCTGGATGCGCAAACAGCACCTTCCCTGCATTCTTGCCAAGCAGCGCTGCATGGAGGTGCATCATTGCCAACTGTGAGTTGCACAACAAGGTAAGGCAACACAACCCCACACCTCCTGAACGACCTTCCACACTCCTCACCATGTCCCATGATGCCCAAACTCACGCAGTTCATCGCGGTCAAAGGCGTTCGTTTGCACGACGCGATTCCCGCGCATGTCGCTGGCCTGCATCCGCGGCCGCACGCGGCGGTACCCGGTCGCCATCGCCAAACAAGCACAAGCGCAAGGTCACGGAGGCAAGGCTGTGTGTTGTGTGGGTGTGGCCGTTGTTGTATTGGGTGGTGTTGTTGTGTGAGGAGAGGGGGGAGGAGAGAGAAAAACACAAACAAGCGCAGCAACGACAACGATGATGCAGACCAGTGACATCGAAGGTGGTGGTGGTGGTGGGTTGAAGGTGTTGCGGCAGTGTGTTTCCAACTTGCAGGCGCGTGAGCAGACGTCTGGCTGCACCTTCATCACCATCACACCTTCCAAGGCGTAAGCAATAAGCAAGGGAAGATGGGGCGACGTGATGTTATGTGTGCGACCTCGCTCGTGCTGCACATGCTGTCCTCAGTGGTGTGTGTGTGCGTGTGCATGTGCATGTGCATGTTCACTGTGTTGCTCGCTTCGCTGTGCAGGTCCTCGTCACAGTACACGCTTCAATTTCAACGAGCAGGCCAGCCATGTGCTTGTAAGTGGTATACGTTGCGCTGGCACTGCCAGTGTCGGAGGGTGTGTCTGAGCGCGCGCGCGCGTGTGTGTGTGTATGTATGTAAGTTCTTGTCCGCCTGCCTACCTGCCTGCCTGCCTGCCTGCCTGCCTGACTGCGTGTCCACCTGCGTCTGCGAAGCTCACGCCATCTTCGACATGCAGGGACAATCATCATGGGCAGTGGATCGCAGAGCATTCCCGACATATGCTTTCCTTCCTTTGAGCAGAGCTTTGAGCCAAGCATCGACGCGCTCCTGGTACGTGCGTTTGTGTGAGTGTGAGTGGGGGTGTGAGGTTGTGTGAGGTTGTGTGAGGTTGTGTGGGGTTGTGTGGGGTTGTGTGAGGTTGTGGAGTTAGCTGTGCCTTTGTGGGATTCACCACCACCCCTTCCACCACTGCACACACCAACGAAGCCTGTCTTGGACGCGTGGGACGGCTCCACAACGTCGTACACAGACTTCTTTGCCATCGTGCTCAAGGTGGGTGCACATGCTTACACGACGACAAGGCACTGCATCATGCTCATTGACAGGTCGTGTCCCTCACATACATCCACACACACACACACACACACACACACACACACACATACACACACGCACACAC